CCAGCCCTGTGGGGCTTCATGTAGCTTGTCTCTATCATGTAATAGGTAAGCACCCATGAACCCAGCCCTAGAAATGCTTTGTCAGTGCCAGCACAGCCATGATCTAACTAATTCGAGGGAGAATTAGCTCAGTACCTATCCCTGCTAAGTTACGCAGCTTTTTGGGACCTGAACTTTGTGGTACTGTGCTGCCTGTGCTTTCCCAAGCCTAGTGCTCTCTGAGAGGTCTGAGGTGAATTGTGCATTAAAATGAGCTTTTCCCATCACAAGGAGAGGGAATGATTTGGAAAAAACTCTTAATATTGGCTGTTGAATCTTCAGAGACTATATTTATGAATTAGTCCTTCTTATTACTAGCTGTATTGGATGAGGACCTGCTTGTTTAGGTGAAAGCCAAATAGCTGGATAAATGGAACAATATGGTTGAGTCAGGTTTTGGCAGAAGAGCAATGCAAAGCTATGAAGGAATGATGGAAGTAAGGGGTGGGGTGTGTCGGGGAGAATGGAAAAAAATAAATTGTATTTAGGTACAGTGTCACCTAAGGGAGGTGCTATTAATTATTGGCAGTGCAAGCCCCCAGTCCCCAAAACCATTGACAACTTGTCTCTTCCTTACCGTGTGACCCAGCATTATAAAAACCATGGTGGGAGACTATATGGAGAGATGGTGGTTGAGTATCAGAAATCTCTCGGGGGTTTCCTGATTTGTGTTGAATCTGTCAGCTCTCTTCAATTTCAAGTACACTTTTGATTGAGAATTTTGTGTGTGCACCCAGGTGGAGCATTCTTTTGATTTCTCTTGATGGCTATTGAAGGTGCATTGACTTCAGAACATCAAGCCCCCAAACAAAGAGCTTAGAGAGAGAGAGAGGTTTGTTTTGTGGTGGTGTTTGGGGGTGTGGGGGTGTCACCTTCCTGTGATTCAGTACATCTTTCTGCCCTGCTCTTCTACACATGTATTGATCTGGTTGGGAACTACGTTTGGTGGGTTGTACTACGGGTTGTACCAGACGGTGGCAGTGGAGGCTCATGAGACAGGGCTACACAGGCTGTGGTTTTCAAGTGTAGTTCCTTCCAGCCTTTGGTACAAAGCAGCATCTGCTCAGAGCTGCTTTGCTTGCCTTAGTAGTTAATCCTGACCAGTTTCTAAGCTGCCAGAGTGACTCTGTTTTACCACAACAAATTTAAGTTAATGACATTCATCAGGAAGAATCAAATTTGTCATGTGAAAATAGAAGGGGGTTTTGTGATGTTGGCAGACATCGAGACTAAACATTTCTGGCTGTTACTTCATGGAAGCCTAAGCTACTCTTTTTTTTTCTCTTTTCTTTAAGTAAACTCCTTTCCCTGACAGGTGGGGGTAGGGGGGACATATCTTGATAGCGGAGGGGGAAATGAAAAGAATGAAATGTTACAGCGCTCTATCTCATCGTTTTAAAGCTGATGCTGTAAGTCTAGGGACTTGTTCATGGTTTTTCAGTTGTGGACTTGAGAATGCTGTACAAGTCGCCTCTACGCAGAGAACTTCAGACAACTGGGCCCTTGATTTTGCTTTTTCAAGTTAAATTGTTAATTGCATCTGAGTTAGTGTCTTAACACTGTCAATAACCGTATGTTGTAGAGATGGCCTCCCAGAGCCTCACCTTGAATCTGTTGCTCATCTTCTTTCTCTGCAAATTCTTGAGACAGTGGCTGGTGCAGCCTCATTGACCCAGGTGTCGCTGTGTGGCAGAGAAGGATAATTGATAATGTCAAGTAAAAAGCCAAAGTCCTTTCTAAAGAGCTCAGTGGAGTTCAGAGGAGTGAATCACAGTAGGAAGCTTCAAGTGCGAAGCATGGCTATGGGGTAAATGATGCAGCTGAGAAAGTTTGAGAAGGGTTTGTGGGGGGTTTTGTGCCTTATGTGGCAAGGAAGAGGTTATCCCAAGCTGTGAGGATGGAACCATTGAAAGCAGGTCCAGCGTCACAAAATTAATGTATAGGAGTTAAAAACCAAGGCGTTCTGGCAAACAAGTTCAGAAAGAATAGAGTTAAAATGGTAACGGAGAAGAGAGATTCTCAGGAATTTAGGGGTACTATATAAAGATTTTGCTGAAGAACTGGGTGGACTCTACTCCGTGTGGTCAGGCTGCTGCAAGTCCTTCTTTGTCCTGTTTCTCCTCCATATTCTTTCTCTGCAACTAATGCTGTTTGTGCCTTGCTGGGCAATGTAATGTCTTTGTGGCTTTTCCATCAGCTGTTTCTTCCTTAGTCTTTTCAAACAGCACTGCCAAAGCTGTTACCGCTTTTACCTTCATCACTGTCCTTTGAGATGCTCTTTCCACTCTGTCAGCTTCTGTTTTCTGCTTTAGGTGCTTTAACCCCCTTAAGTCTTGATGTGTTTCTCAAGTCCTCACCAGAACGCTCTCCCACCGCGATATAGGAAGGGATGTTGGCTTCTTTCGTGATTAACACCAACTGAGGGACATTAGCTTCTTTCCTCACTGACACAGTCTGGATCCACATGTCTCCAGTTGCAATGTCTTCTGAGCTGTACCCTTCTTCCATTTAAATGGGCCTCACGTATTTACGCTAGTGATTAAAAGCAGTATGCAAATTTATAACCTGCAGGGTGGACATACTTGGTACCCTCAGCCCAAAGTTTTAGAGAACAGATGTGTATGAACCAAAATCTCTTGTGTAAAGAAGAGTGTGTATAGGTTTTGGCCAAACTCATAATTTGAATGGACCTGCATTCATAACTTTTGATCATGTGGGGTGGGCAGCCCTGGCCTTCTGCTGATTTCTTTTCCCCACTGTTACGCTTCTGTGCCTTCTTAATTGCTGTCTTTTACATGTCATGTCATTCCAGATCTTGTATGTGATCTGATTTTCTGCAGATGTTTCCATAGGAACCCTCTCTCTTCAATGCCTTGAAGAATCATCTTCAGAGTTCCTTTAGAGCTGTAGCACTAAACATGATTAAAGAGAAGCTAATTTGCTGCTGGTTTTATCCCTCGGACATCTGTATCCCTCGCTGACACAAAGTCTCTCCTTTCTGTGTTTATTCTCTTCCTAGTTAGTTTGGACTAACAGGGCAGAGATCAAAGCAAGTTCAGAGTGGGGCACGAGATGAAAGTCCCTGAAGTCAAACCACCACAGGGCGGTGTAATTTCACAGAAGGTGCTAGGGAAAGGATTTGTGATGAGACCGAGGTTGTCTGTGCTAGCTTAAGAGTAGAAGGGATAGTATTGCCCTCTCTAGCCTGAACATCCCCCTTTATCTTGGGTGAGTAGATGCCATTACCTAGTGCTGCCTTCCCATTTCCTGGTGGCAAAGTTAAGTACTCATTTGTATGAATTTCAAGGGCCCTTTTTAAGCATAAAACAGAGCAGTAAAAGCAAGTAAACTATCTCACAGTGAAGAAAGGAAGGGGAAGTCCTTCCCTTCTCTGTTTAACACAGTATAATAGCTCCTAACAGAAATCCCCCAAAGGATTTTGGGGGTAGCAGCAAGCAGGCTATTGAACAAGAGGTAGTATTTAGTACATAGTCACAGGCAATTTAGTATGTTGCCAGAGATGATGTGGTGGGGAAAAACAGTGGGCTGTGAAGTCCTGGCAGTGTAGGGCTCTGGGCTAGCAATGGTTTCTTTAAGACTTTGACCCTCTCTAGTGCTGCCCAGCATGTGGTGGAGCTCTGGAGAAATGGTCAGGCTTCTGCCCCTTGCTGGCTGATGATCCGGTGGGAAATCCAGTTAAAGCAACTTGATGTCTTGAAGTAGTTAAAACGTGGAATAGCAGCCTAGGGCCACTTTCACACTTGAAATCCTCTGTGAACCTCAGGGGTTTTTGTAGTGTAGGGGAGTTCTCTGCTGAAGAGCCTCACACCTTTGTGTTGATCTTTCCCCTGCCCTGTGGCAGCTGGCAGAGCTGCTCTACAGGCTTGGCCAAGTGGGACGTGGCACAGTGGTCCATGGGAGGTCACTGGTGGGTGTGGGGATAGCACTCTCAGCAACATCCTCTGAGCTGGCTCCTGACCCCTGGCAAATTTGATCTGCGTTCCTGACTGCATGCCATCATCTTGGCCTGTTGAGAGTAAGCCCACTATACAGCTTCCAGTGTATACACAGTACAAATACAACAAATAGAAGGCTGCAGTACTCATCCCAAGCATTTTTCTGGCCTTTCACTCACTGAAGGAGCGTGCAACCTAATTTTGCTGTTGCTTGGAACTTCGTAGGGCTAAAACTGTTAAATAGCTCTGTCTTTCAGCCTACCAGCCTTAGTTATTGGTGTCTACTTCATCTCAGCACTGGCTAAAATGAATCCTGACAGCCATCTCCCACACATGCCCTTATTCAACCTGCCAGGGTCCCAATGAGCTTCCCCATATAAGATATCGTTCCTGAGTTTCTGCCACCACTAGCTTTTAAAATCAAATTGGTTTTTTTGTTCTTTCTAATCATGAAACTGAGATACCAATGCAAGTACTGGGGCTGCTTGGAGCTTCTGAGTCTCGTTTCCATCTCTACCACAATTGAGAGGCCTTAGCAAAGCCATCTTCCATGAATGGATGAGTTGGAAATAACTGTGACTTCCGTATCAGGTATTCTTAGCTCAGTGGCTGTGTCCTGCTGACAAGTCTTCCTGCGCTTGGAACAGACTTGATGGGCATAATGTGAGATCTCACAAGAGCCTTGAGAAGCCAAGCACGTTTGTTTGTGTAGCTAGTGCTCATGGAGACATTCAAAAGTATGAGGGTGAATAGGACTTGCTATTTTGCCAGGCTTGCTGATGTTCAGCTGAGTGTAGGTGGTACCAAATGACCTTTGAAAATCCTAACGCTTGTAAGGATCGTTGGATAACTCAGGTTTTGTGGTACCTCAGAAGGTCTCAAGTGCAGCCTTCTGCTTAAAGCGGCCAGCTATGAGGTCAGACCAGGTTACTGAGGGCTGTATCAGGGAGACACCTTCCAGCTAAGCTGGGCCCGTGCTCAGGAACTGGACAAACATATCGGTGCTGTGTGAGTAATCGATAGATTTGTTTGGGTTTTTTCAACTTTGTTGAATTATAAGACATCTTTTCAGTGTAAACAGAACTTGCATATTTTTATTTTTTCTCAATGCAACATTTGAATACATCATGAACAAAAACTCTTGTTTAGCCCAGATTAAAGCATTTGGGTTACTTGTAAGGAGCACAAGGCAAAGAAAAGTGTTTAGATCTTCTGGAAAGTGTTAGGTGGGAGCACTCCCTGAGGTGTAGGAGACCAATGTGCAGTTCCCTGCAGGGCCTGGGAGAACAGGATTGTGGCTCTCTGGAGATCACTCCAGCTACCAAGTGGAGCATCTTTCTCTGAGTGTTTAAATGTGTCATGTAAAATAAGGTAATTTTAGCACTGGCACCTGTCACGTTGCCCAGTGTCTTGTGGATCAGACGCTCGTGTGTTAGGAGAGACATCTGGCTCCTAGGCTTTGAGTGTCTGGTTGTTCAAAGCAAAATACTGTCAACAAGAACATTCTGTAAATTTGGGTTTAGGTCATTCCTGTGTGAAGTGGTGGCTTGTATCCACTCAGGTAGGACAGAATTAAACCAAATCTCCCAAAAAATGTGTTTGAATGCTCGAACCACTGAAAGTTACTCGTTACAGAAGTGACTCTCGTCCGGCTTTTTTTTTTTATATCAAATTGTGCTTTCCCACAGCTGAAATTATTTGGTGAATTTGTAGATGGTTTTCAGCCTATGAAAGACACTTTTTTTGTGTGTGTGTGCTCTAAGCACTTTTTGCTTAAAATACTCTTTTACATCCGGGCAGTGAGAACAGGAGCCAAACCAACCTCCCATTGTGGGTCGCAGGAAGTTGCAGTTGCCTCAGCAGAACTGAGGTCACTGCAAGTAGGATACTGTCTTGTGAATGTAGAAACCTGTCACTAATGATCTCTTAATCACACATCGGTCTCCTCTTAGCCTGTGAATCCCTTATGTATGGGAATGTTACGAGCAAGCAGGAAAACCAAACTGAAATTACTTAATATGTGTAACAAGCACATGAGTTAAAGCATGTGGGTATGACCATTCAGAAATAAAACCACTCTTATTTTGCTGCTTCGAAGGAAGATTAAGTTATGTTGCACTTTATTTCAGAATCAGAGAAGCTATAAAGGCAATTAATCCAGCTGCTTCAGTGGAAATGCTTATACTCAGACCTCTGTAGGTTTTGGTGAGCATCCCTTGCTGTCTCTGGTGCGGGCATGTACCACATGTTATCCCAGTAGCAGGCTCAGGAGGGTTATGAGACAGCTGTCAGCGTAGTTTGTTTTAGTCTTTGAACTTGGTTCAGATCTTCTGATGTATAGCCCACGATGGTATAAGATGCCAATTAACCCTCATTCCATTTACTGAAAAGGG